CGGTTCGAGGAGAGAAGACATTGCCGTGCTTTGATAAAACTTCTGGAAACTTATAATTATATGGGTCTCAGGGTTTATACTTTGGGCCGGTCTCATGCACAAGGACTCTACACCCACAGTCCATGCCAAGCATGTTGGAGCAGAGTCTAAGGGAATCTTTTTAATTTTGATGCTAGATAAGTTTAGAAAGCATATAATATAATTATATTATAAGGACTATACCGGTGCTTTGCATCTACTACATAAAACATAATATACTCTACTGTCCTTGTGCCTATAAAGCCCTCCCCCAGCCCTTATAATTATAATCAGGCCTAGATTCCCAAAGCACAGAGCAGAAGAAGGATCGCAATCCCCACGCAACGACTTCTTTAAAGCACCCCCAGCCCTATAGTCCCAAAGACCCGAGCAGAAGAAGTAAGTAGAAAAATGCACAGCAACACTCCAAGTGCCAAAGTACATCCGATGAGGAGCTACATGTCTGCAGTATATACTATATATATATACATATATATATACAGTCGTGTGTCGTACTAGAAAACGTAGTCTTGTATATTGTGTAGTAGACTACTATAAGCTATAATTAGAATATAATGACATAATTACACCAACCAAGTCCCATGAGGTGGCATCGGACCAGAGCTGGCACTCGTCTTCCTGGTCGGATACATCCTGGGCCAGGCCATGGGGTGGTTGGAATGAATGGGGTGGCCACCACTGGGGTCATTCCTGGGATTCCTGGTCGGGCTACGATTGGAACGAGTGGGAAAAGGAAGCAGAGCAGGCTCATGAGAAGGCAAGCAACAATGAGGAGGCTCATGAGAAGAAGGCAAGCAACGGTGAGAAGGCTCATGAGAAGAAGGCAAGCACACCTCAGGCTCATGATCATGATGGTACAGAGAAGCGGGTGGATGCCATCCTACGCCGAGGACAGACGGTGGATCAGTTGACGACTGAAGAGCTTCACTTGATCGTTGGTCACATCGACAAGCAGAAAAAGACGGCAGAAGAGAAGGCCGACGACGAGGGGGAGCCAGATAAGCCGGCCGCTGAGACGAAGGAGGAACGAAGAAAGCGGCTCCATGCTCGCAACATGCGGTATTACCGCAGCCTTGACAGCTGCTCATCTAGCAAAGAAGACATTTTCAAGTTACATAAGTACTT